AGTTGTGCCAGAAAACCGACTCCACTTATCACAGGGTTTTCAGTTTGATCCCTGGTCTCCTCCTGTCTATAACCTAGGCATGTTACATTACAGAGATTAGACTACCAAAGGTCAGATCTAACATGTTGAAGGTTTTATTGTCTTTACACCATATCTGAGGATTTTCTTAGCCCTTTAACATCTTGTGGTGGCTTCTGGTTTAAGCGATGGCTTAACATACTCCAGGTTTTCTCATGTCAATTGTAACGTATTCATTGGGAACATTTTCTCTTTGTCATTTCCTGAAGTCCCTTTGCCTGGTTCTCTGTGTGCTTTATGAACATGGCTGCAATGCAAATTTCCCTCAAGGGACATGAAAGTTTCAGTTTGACCTGCATCTGAAGTTAATATCAAAAGTAAAATTCCAACCATTACTTCTTCCTTTTTCAAAATCCAACTTTCCAAGACCAAAAAAAAAAAAAGACTTAATTATGGGACAACATCCTTCACAACACAGATTATTTATTCCACAGTGACACTTCTCACATTCAAACCCTCAGTTTGTCTGAACTGCAGCTACAAACCTGAAATATTCCACTCGCTCCTCCTTTATCTGACTTTCAGGCCACAGAGAGAGCGAGAAGAGGAGCGGACCTGTCAGTCAAGCCGCTGTCACCATGGCAGCAGTGTTAATCAGCTAGTGTTGAATCTTATTGCCTGTGAGATCTGTGGCTGACTGTGCGTCACTGGTCTGGCTGGGCCTTCTTCTGCCACTGGCTGTGGCTGAGGTGTCTGTTGTAATTCACAAACACTCACACATACAAGCCCACGCACAAACAGGCACTGACCTGTCTGTCGGCAGCGCTCAGCCCTGCTGACACAGATGACACATGATGTGACAAGTGTGAGAGTAGGGTGAGGAAAGTACCGGTATGTGTGTCGGCGAAAAGGGAAAAGAGCAAGGAAAAGAGGCAAAAAATGATGAGAGGTTTTCTGCGCGTCTAACCTGAAAGTGTTCAAACAGATTTTCCTCTTGAAGCAAAGCCTCACCTGCTGCAGAGTGCGGGGGAAGAATGCCTGCGTGGTTGTTATGCTCAGCTCAGCACTACGCAGCACACCACAACCTCCTGTGTCTCTTGAAACAGCCTCCTTTTTCCTGTGCACAATGCAGCCTTTATATAAGGCCTCCATAATGGAGCCAGCTCCTTCACTCATGTCCTCATTGTCTTGGCCAGGATGAGAAAAGGCTGCTCTTTAGAAAGAGCGAGGCTGAGCTCACTCGTGAATCATGCCAACAGTCACGCTTGTTCTCTGTCTTCTTCCGTAAGCCAGAGGAGGGGGAGGAGGGATAGACGTTTTCTAGGACCCCCTTTTTGCCTAGCTGTTGTGACTTTAGGTGGTTAACTGAACCCTGCAGGGGTAACAGAGAGGTTGCGACCTTGCCTTCCTGTTTCTGTGGGTGGGCCAGATAGGAGTCTCCATGTGGCCGTGATGGTGGCTGTGGTGCGATTGGTCCGCCTAGCGATGGCAGCTTGTGGCACTCTAGTCTAGCGTTGCAGGGGTTGCCGCGGGGGCTTGTGCTACTTCACAGCAGGAACTCTGGCCTTACTCTTTTAGCAGCCCTCTGTTCTTCATCATGAGAGCTGCTGTTTCCTCAAGGCTGCAGCAGGGGAAGGACAGAATCCATTTGAAGCATACGTCTGGTGTCACTACTGCAGCATCCATAATGCCTCCACCTCCCCCTCCCCCTCCCCTCTGCTGTTTCCACTGCATCCATACAACAAGCTCCTGCAGGAAAACAGAGGTTGAAAATGTAATTTAGCTGGAGACATTAGAGTGTCTGTGTGGTGAGAGACATGTTAAGATGGGTATTGTTGGCTGGTTGTCGGGATAAAATGTAGACGTATTGAGGAGAGTGGGGGCTGGGGTTGCTATAGGTTGTGAGATAGAGTGAGACAGGAAATCAGCATGCATGCAGTCTCCCGCCGTGCTTTGCATTTCCAGCATGGAAAAAGTAGCAGTGTTGCCATGGAGACAAATCCTGAATCAGTGCGGGTCTCGGACCCTTCCAGTGCAACCCAACATTTCCCTCTCTTCTCTCTCTCTCTCTGTCTCTCCCTCCTCCCCCATGGCCACCTCCCAGCGGCTCTGGAGTTCAGACCTCATACCTGCCTACTTATGGGAGCAGGATAAGGCTCTGTGCAGGGATCATGTCCAAAAGCTTCGCACTCGATCCCAGAGCAGGAGCGTTGGCCAGCGGATACTGTGCACAGCAGACAGACCCCCCCCACCCCCGCTCTAATGCTGCCATCAAATTTGCGTGGAACATTCAGAAGTGATTTGTACCCAGAGTCAGCTGGATAATAGGTCATATCTCGATTTTTTTTAAATTAGATGTTAATGTGCCCACCTCATGTCCCCTTCATACGTACACTCATGAATTAAGAGGATGTTTGACATTACCACGGTAACTGAACAGATACTGACTGCGTGACTGAAGTGTATGGTCTTTTGGTTAAAAGCAAAATAATCTTGAATGCCTTTTCCAGCGATTGTAAACACAATAATTTCTGTAATAGAAGAATTAGAACTACAAATTACAACTGCATTTTGATTGAACTTCCTTTTCTTTTCAATTAAGTGTTAAGGCTATACATGTTTAAATATATATTTGTGTCTGTGCATATGTATGTATGTACAGTATATGTAAATATAGCTTAAATAATGAAGTTCAAAAAACTTAAACCAGGAATTGGTGTTACTAAATAGTTGGTTATGAATTTCCAGTTTAAACATTGCCCTGTGATATAATCTGGATTTTTAATTCACATGGACTATAAAAACATGCTTGACACTTACGATAAAACAAGTTTCTTTCATTCTGCGGGGATTCAGCTCCTAATTTAATGCAGAGACGATTAAATCACAAGTGTTTTGATGGGTAGCTTGTCTCCTTCAGGGCAGCTGTCAGAAGTAGAGATTGAGTAGTTTTACCAAAGAGTTATGAGTGTACTTTTTATCGAGGGCACATGTTGCAGGCTGTGTGTGAGGCTGCAGTCAGGAAGTGACCGACTTCTTGGTCCTGCAGGAGCGGATGTGTCATCAAGCGGACTGATGTGAAGCTGCTGTGACAGTCCACTTGATGTTCTGCCTCATCTCAGCTTCTGTAATAATTAGATTGATTGCTGCTTGACTTAAAGCACAGCATGAACGTCTGTAGGCTATAGTAATCTGTTCCTGAATAGATTATCCCTCTTTGTCAAGAGTTAGTTGTTGCAGTTATTTTAAGTTTAAAAAAAGGAGATAAGAGTATGCTTGCCATAATAGAAAAAGTATCTTTACATCTATTTACCCTGCTGCCTGAATCTGTGAATGCATAAAAACTGTTCTTGTGCAGTTATAGAGCTCATGATCTTCTGTTTAATATTTCATCTTGCACCGTCCCAGTTTGCTTTGGCCTTCAGCCCAGTCCAGACAGACGGTGGCTGCTGTCCGCTGTGTCGAGGGAATGGGGCCAGGCTCGCTGACTCTCCAAACTCTGTGTAGAAACTTTTTTTTTAACCAGGACTAACGTTATTCAACAGCTGCATGGCCTATTTCTCACCCCAGATACTGTATCGGTGTTGGCCTTTTTCTGTGATTAAGACTTTTTAAATCAAGGCAGAGCTTGAGCTGCAGCGCAGAGTGGTGTTTAAAGTAATCAAACATTTAGTTTCAAAATAAAAAATGAAACTGTAGAGAATGTGTAATCTTGTTGATTTAAGAATGCATAGATTGTTCTAATTTTCCCGTTTGTTTTTTTTCTGTAACTGTTTGTAAACTCACAAACAAAGTCCAAGGGTAGCACATGCAACCTTGACTTATTATTATTTTGACTAAGAATCAGGCTTTGTGTCTATCATTTAAAGAACTCCAAGAAATGTTTAGGCAGAATTGACAAGAAGCAATACAGCAACCAAAATCTGTTAAAAGGAACATATAGCTACAGGAAAATAGTTTAAAAGAAACTGTCCTTCTCATTTATGTTTCTAATCTTCATCCCTTACAGAGCAGCCTTAGTTTGCAGGCACACACACTGACTACTGAAACACGCTAACGTTCTGTGCGAACTGTGAACTGAGTCGTGTAGTGTTAGAGTGAGTTAGATGTTCGTGTCTGGGGACAGAATTGAGGTTATGAGTGATATGTGGAAGACAAAGGCCGTCAGTAGTGTTGACAGGCTGTGAGCCCTGAGGAGATTCACCACTGATGTTTTCATGTCTGGCTTACTTTACTCATCATTCATGCAGACAGACTCTTGTCCAGATCTGCAGCAGTTGAGGAGTCATCTCTGCATTTAGGTCACAGAGAGAAACTGCTTGTAATCCTTCTCGTTCCCAAACATCCTCTGTCTTGATTTGACATCTCTTCCTCCCGTCAAACAAATTCTCTCTCACACACACACAGCCTCCAGCTCTCACAGTCAGTTGCTCTCGTGCACACAGTAAATGCGACTGGAATGTGTGATGTGGACTCAATGTGGCCCAGGCTAGTCCTGCTCCATTCTGCAGCAAATCCCCCTGGTTTAGGATTCGCTTTTATAGTCCCGTGTGCCAGCGACCGTACTCTAAACTCGCCGTAAGAATCTCTCACCAACTCATCATGTTACCCCAGCAGGAGGAATTTCAAGTAATGTGCCTGAACGAGCTGAGTCATAATTAACGTCAGAGTGCTGATTGGAGCGTTCTTTGTTCACACAGTCACACACCTGATGATCTTACAAGTTCTTTGATTGTTGCTTCCTGATTGTGAAACATGGCTTCAGGCGAGTGAGTCGTATTCTTTGAATGAAAATCACTTTGCAGTACAGATACTATCAGGGAAATGTGAAGGCCTGCATCAACAAGACAGCTGACAGATAGAGGAAGTATTCAGGTGGAATTTAATACAGACTGTATGTTTTTTTGTTGTTCTTCTTCTTATCGCCTTACACAGTTCACAACCACAGTTTAAGTCTGTAATGTTTACTCTGTCGTCTTTAGGCCTCCCCTTCCTGAGAGCTCCATGGAGAAAATGAAGCGGTTCAAGCGGCGCCTCTCTCAGACGCTGCGAGGTAGCCACACCATCGACGAGTCGCTGTCAGAGCTGGCTGAACAGATGACCATCGAGGAGAACGGCCTGAAGGACAGCGGTGAGTTTAGAAAGTTGACACTAAAGAAGGAGCTGCTTAACGCTCAGTTTAAGGTTTTAAGTGTTGGTGATATTTAACATAATACAAAAAAGATCTGCAAGATCATGTTGTAAGTGTGGGTCATTACGTAATTGCCATAACACTGAATTATTGAAATCATTTTTTATTATCTTGGATTCATTTTCCAAATGGCTTCAAATACGACACATTGGGCCTTCTTTTATTAATATTTCAGACCAACTAACCTTAATAGATTTCCAGGTAAACTAGCAGGACGCTAACTCTAGTACTTGCAGTACCCCCCCCAACACCTTTAGATATAAACACATCTATGAGCATTATGACGTTTGAGGAGTAGACACCACTTAAAACAAAACTCAGCAATAAATGCCTGTTTGACAGACACAGCGTCTTTAATACTGTGGAATTAATCTCATAAAGGTTATCAGTTTAAGCCTTCAAGGCGGGTTAACATTGACTTTAAATGCAATACACCAAAGTATAACATGAGTGTCACAACAGTAAAAGAGGACAATGCCCTAAAACTACTTTCTGATAATGTCAAAAAAAAGACGAAAAGAGTACAAAACTGTGAAAATAGAAATATACAGCCTAACTGATGAGTTGGATAGTTTTCCTAATCAAGTGGCCAGTGTGAGTATATCAGTACTGCAATATAAAAATGCATGTTCAGTGAGATGATTTTATTTAATTACATAAAACACTACATTTAAAGGGCCTGGTTCTATAAATGTTCGAAAATTCTGAATGTACACGTAAAAAGAAGTATGTTTGAGTACATGTGCAATGCTCATGTGATCTATGGCTCCTGGTACATGAGAAAATGTAGCAAAATGTTCTGAGAGAATTTTCATCATTGTGCCTCAAACTTACACTCAAGTCTTTTATCTCCATCAGCAAGTGAACCAGGGACACTGAAGTCTTTACCATTGCCATTAGCAACCACCATTGCAGTAACAACATGAAAAAGTGACTCATTGGTTTAATCAAACACATGACTAATGTGTAACATTTCCAGCATGTTTACGTCATAAAGTGCACTGCTAGATTGGGATTTAGTGCTTGGATTTGAATGGATTTACACAACATTTTATCCAAATCCAAATTTGTATCTAACACTGACCCAGAAGCTGTGGTGGGCTGTTTGCTGAAGTTCAACAGACTCTGATTGAATATTTCCTACTGAAATGCACCATGGGAGCCTTGGTATACTTTTATAGCTTAATGTTTGATATATTCCTTTTTGACGTGGCTCTTTTTATTTATATGATAGTCAACACACCATGCTCCTACACGCTGTCCCCATGTTACATCATTGGTTTGGAGAAGGGTTGAGACCTCGAGGCGTCAAAATAAAAGCACAGTTACACAGCAGCTTATCTCTGCCGAGATTCACAAAATCTGCAGCAAGAGGGCAAGCGGGGGAGAGAGGGATCATGCCTTGGTGTGCAACAGCTTCGTTTCCATGGCGCTCAGTTTCTGGAAGCATTCTAGAGTTTCCATGACATTGCCACAGCAACATGGATGATTTGGTGAAACCATTTCCCCCTCTTTATTTCCATGTTTCAGCTCTTCTTCTTCTTAATTTCTTTGGGCGCCCCAACCCTTACCCACAAGCCTCTTTCAGGCCTGTCCTCAGTTCTCCTCTCTTGTCTTTTGTCCAAACGAGAAGTTTCTCCCCCCCCTCCCCTCTTCGTCAATCAATCAGATCGTCCAAGTCCACTCCCGCCTCCCCCTGCCCTCTGAGAACTAACTGGGCTTTGTAAAAAGCTTTTTGTGCAGTGATTAACACAAGGTTTGGCTAGAGTGTTCTGTGCTTTCTGAGTGGGGACACAGAATCGTGTTGTGTTTGTGTGCGTTTGTGTGCGAGCCTGCATGAGTGAGGGGATTTCAGCAGCCTGTGTATCAGTAAGTAGGGTAGAGAGGAGACAGAATGGAGTAGCCACATGAGATGTGATCTGACCCCAGTGATTGGGGAAAGCGTTCTGGTCCTGATCTGATTATATAACAGTTATAACTGAGTCCAGTGGCAGCAGCAGCAGCTGCACAGAGATAAGGGACACATGACAGAAGGACCTGGATGGTGACTGGGGGCTGATTTTCAGTTTTCATATAAAATCGAGGAAATGCAAAATAAGTTAAAAAAAAAATATATATATACAAAGAATTGAGCTGCCTATGCCCTTTTTCCTATTACAAGTATCAAACACTTTTAACATTGTAGCAGATTCTATTATAAACACAACAAATGTTTAACTTGTCACCAGTTTTCCAACCTCATCCTGCTTGTTGATTTGCAACACTGCTCACTATTCCTGATAAAACTACAGTTCCTAAAGGGACCCCCTATCCTGGCTACCACCCCTACTTGTTTTCCACCGCAGTACGGTGTCATACCTATGATATCCGGTTGAGTCTCTATGCACTAACCTCTGCTGAAGTGTTAAACCCTCCTGAAGCCAAATTCTGTTAAATCCAATATTGATCATAAACGTTACAGGTTATAAACTCTTAAAAACAAGATCTCTTTGACCCTGTTTTTGTGTATTTTCAGATGTATTTTAATTCTCTAACTGTTGTATTTGACCTCCCTATCATCTCTGTCTTTTTCAAACACACACTGTGCTGTATTTTCACTCCGTCTAATATCAATTCCTGCTACAAGAACCTGCTTCTCTGGGGCTACATTTTCTCGACACTTTCACAGTTGTTTGTTAGTTGGCGCGACTCCTCACATAATAAATCTTTTACCTCTGTCAACCCCATTCTCGCCTTTGGACAAATGCTCCTCTGCCGAGCGGCTTTTCTCACGGCAAAATACACAACTGAGACTACAAGACATTATGCTTACACACAAGACTGTCTCACTTTTCTGCTCTAGGCTATCGACAGTTTAAGGGTTACACCGGATAAGAGAGCAGATCACAGTGTAACTCGCAGAGCTCTGTTTACAAATAGGTAACCCTTGTTGTTTCAGATGAAACCTGTAAGAATGTGATTTTTCTGGAAAAACCAAAGCCCATTAAGATTAGACGCAAGCTAATCACATTGGTTTTTATAAAGCTTTCTTTCCAGCCAGGATAAGTAGAACTGTTTATTCTTGTTGTGCTAAAAATAGGATCATATCCAAAAACAGTCTTATTGTTTTTCTGTAGATTTAACACATTAGAATAACACAAACTGTTTAGTTGTAGCATTCTGTTTAAAGTATATTCTGTAGTTATACAACGTATCTGTTTCCATCACCAGTCACTTCACAGTTATTTCAGTTTCTCTCTTTGGGCATTGATGTTGGCACAGATCTTTATTCTTTTGTCAATCACTTATATTCTGTTTCATTTTTGTCAAAGAAGTTTAACTTTTCTGGTTCGAGCATATTTCTGCAAACTTGCTTTCTGTGAGTTAATGTTTCTTTAGCATGCATTGGCCTGTTATACTGTATAGCAGCAGTTTACTCATGTTACATGATGCAAATCTGTGCATCAGTAGATTAGGAGTTAAAACCTCTTATGTAACAATGATTATTTGATACACTCTTGTGTCATGATATGTAACCACTAAAGGATAGTTAGTGCAGCGCAAAGCTTTTAGTCAATGAGCAGCTAGGTGCCTAAAGTACTCATGCCTGCAAATAGCTATAAATAATAGACTTCAAGAGGACAATGGAAATTCATTTTGATTTATACTTATTTATACAATTTGAGAATGATTTCAGATCTGTTTAAAAAAATGAAGCTCAAATTTCAATATCAAAAAATAATCTCAAACTTAAGAACATAAAGAATATGTTGAGAAAGAATACCAGCAATCGAATGTTTTCTCTTCTTCGAGGACTTTCTGTTATGTCAACACTATTTGTCATAAACAAACTCAAAGAGATTCAAACCACCACATTACATGAGATTGTGAGAGTCATTAAATAGTTTAGTGGATGATTAAGGATAAGTTTGTGTTAGGAATAACTGGTTTATAAGACATGCTGTCATTAATATCCAGTGTGTTTAAAGTACTTTCAAGGGGGCGCGCTATCATAATAAACAACTCTGCTCGCTACATGACCACAAACGCCCATTACATAAGGATGTAAGTAAATATCACGACAGTTTAGTGTTGCCATTGCCATGTTATCTTTTATAACACTCTATCATTTCTGAATAAACCCAGTCATGCTTTTTGATGAATGGATTACCTGAACAGATTTGTGGCCTTGCTTGAATTTGAATCCCATAACTTTTTGTTTGCAGAATTTCAATCTTTTCTTCATTTTAGTTTACTCAAAAAAACAGACAGGCAGCAGTGACAAAAACTTCCAGTGGTAAAGAAAGAGAATACAGGCCTATGAAACAGGCCAGGTCTTAAAATGTGTAATTTATTAGCTTATGTTGTAAAACATAAATTGAATGTTCACCTTTATTAAAAGATGTATGGTATTGCCAGATTTGGCTTATACACAGCCTTACCAATAAAACCCTTTCTGTGTCAGTGTTATAATAAGAGTTAGTGTTTCTGGTAGCTGTTTCATTCACAATAATGGTTATTCTTATGAGTCAGCCATCAAAAGGGAAATATATGTAACTCTTTTTGTGTGTGTATGTGTGCTATCATCTAAACATGAAGTCGTTTTCATTCCACAGAGCCCATAGTGAGGAATGGCCGTCCTCCGTCAGCCCACAGTGTCCACTCCTTCCTCCACCAGTACACAGGCTCCTTTAAGAAGCCGCCACTGAGGCGGCCTCAGAGCGTCATCGGGGGAGGCCTGGGTTCGCTCATGGTCATGCCTCGCAACGGTAGTCGCCTCGGTGAGATACGCACACACTAATCACTTCCAAAAGCATACACAGGCGATGATACTGTATAATATGTTCTCTTTGACTTTAAATAGTGCTTTTGTTTGTTTTCACTTGAAGTTATATACAGTGTATATGTTTTATTTAAAAAGTATGTGGCAAATATCAGGGCAGACACAAAAGTATCAACACAAATAGTTTAGTCATGCAATTAGCCACAGTTGTATAAAAAAAAACTAAACTATGTATATATTTTTATATATATAATGTAAAATATATTATATGTATATGCTTATTCATTTTCTTTTCTGCCCTGCATAAATCAAATTGAACCTGGGAGAAAAAGGCAAGGTCCTTCATGCCTGAAACCTGAGATTGATTAGTTTGATTAGCCATGAAACAGGTACAGTGTGGTGTATGGGTTTGCCTTGTAATGAAACAAATAAGTCCTATCAGTCGCACTCATTAAACCTTATTCACTTCTTGTGTGTAATATCTGTTTGACACGACCACGAGCTGGATGAGAACAGAGGGGCCTGTAAAAGAGTCAGAGAGAGTGTTTGTCTTTCCTGCTGAAGTCATCAGGCGCTGTCGAGCCCTGCCCTGTTTTTCCACAGACCTTCTCCATCTGTCAAACACAAGTCCCCTCATCCTCCTGTTCTCTCCCTGTTTTTCTTTCTGCCTGGATTCCAGATATCGTCCATGAGAACCTGAAGATGGGGTCGGACGGGGAGAGCGACCAGGCGTCTGGGACTTCCTCCGATGAGGTGCAGTCGCCCACGGGTGTTTGTTTGAGGAACAGAGGGAACAGACGCATCTCTGCAGAGGTGGGAGTTGTTTCTCTTTGTTTTTAAACTTCCATTGCCCTTGCATATCCTTTCTGCTTTTTTAAATGGAAGGACATGTTTCTGGATATGACTCACTGGCTACTGTAACAGGTTCTGACATTTGAATATGTTGTTGTTATGTTATGAATCATGGAGCATTTATCCAGCTGGAGGTTGTACCTGGCTCCGTGGTATAGCCTCTACTTCTATGTTCAATGTTTTTTTTTTTACATTTATTTGATGTAAAGCAGAGGAAGCGAAGCATTTGACAAAAGGCCCCTTTTTTTATACTGCAAAAAGTGCAATATGTGCTGTGTTAAAACCTCAGATGTGTTCTTGTAGTGTGATATGAGCACAAAATAGTCCTCAGCTGCCCACATAATCTGAGCAGGACACACACACACACACACACACACACACACACACACACACACACACACACACACACACACACACACACACACACACACACACACATATGTGGCGCACAGTGACTCGACGTACTTTAATGCTGCACATACTTTGGAAATCTGTTTCACAAAGGCTTCACAGTTGCCACCAGCACCACCCACCCAAACCCCTTACTTACATACTTCTGTCTTTGTTCACACACACACACACACACACACACACACACACACACACACACACACAGACGCACACAAATACAGTGTCAGTGAGGGTTAGATTTTGACATTCCTCTTGTGGTTACATAAAGTCAACACATTATGGAAAGATTCCTCGCTGTGATTATTATTGTTTTTCAGTTGGTTTTAAAGTAGGATTAAAATTCACCACAAGCATTGATTGAATCCTGGGTGTGCGATTTTGCACATATTAAATAAAGTGTGGCGTTATAATCTCCATCTCGTTAACTTCAACCATCCAAGGACAGTAGAAAGTCACTGTAAAGATGAAACAAACAGCATACGGAAAGAGTGGAGTACACACACATCCAGCTGATTGATAGGGACACATGAGAGGCAGCACAACGTGAGAAGGGATCCTGCTGCTTTATCTGCAAGTGACAGATAAAGATTGCTTCATAGGTTTTCTTTAGCTCTGCAGATTTCTGACAATATCTTAAATTGGATTATGAGTACTAGTGGTGATGAAAAAGAATCAGATGGACAAAATGATAAATTTGTGATGCGCCTGAGTTCATTTTATAATTTCTAATCATTATGGGGATTTAAAAAATACCAGAAGCGGTGTTAAACGATGTCTCCCCAAGACTTGGTGCCTTTAATCCACCTTAATGGACACTAATGGGATTTGAGGATTTTAAACTGCCGCGAGTCAGTACAAATGAATTTCCAGGTTTACAGTGAAAGTGAATAATCACAGTGAACACTTCTCGTTTTATATTTGGTCTTGTTTTCTTCAGATCATGTTAAAGATTTGTTTGAACAAGGACTTCAATGTTTTTTTAAGCCCTTCTTGTAATTCAGAATCTACATTTTTGGAAGAAGAATTTGAACACAGCAACTGATCGCAGTTGTTCCTTGATCCGTTTATATCACACACACACACACACACACACACACACACACACACACACTCACACACTCACACGCACACAGATCGATGGAAAGATAACCATCAGTGTTTTAAATACATTTACAGTCTCAGTGAAAGGAAGGCAGCGTTTTAGTTGTGCAATCTTTTAAAAAATATTTTAACTCGAGTGTTTTGCAGACTTCTGGGTGGTAGTTTTTCATCAAATGATGCTTGGACTCTTTCTTCTCTCACTCTCTATATTCTACTGTAGACTGTAGCTGTAAATTGTAGCCAAACAAATGTCACAGAGTTCTGTGTTCTGTCCAAGAACTGAAGATATAGCCTCTAAACACAGGCTTCTCCTTTCTTGTTTCGTCTTCATCACACGCTGCAGAAACAGCCTGTTCACAGATACACACACATCCATTAACTGAACGGTGTGTGTGTTATTGGTATTGTTGCTGGAATGTGTGAATGTGTACATGGTGAAGAAACTTGAGGATGGGATACATTATTAAGATGCATGGAGATCCAGTTAGATTTGTAGTGCTGTTAAAATGCACAGTTTGAGTCATGGCCAGCTGAGGAGTAGGCCGAACCAAAAAACAATCCAGTCTGTGATTAAAAAAAAAAAACCTGTGATTCAATCCCAACAGTGAGATTTGTGATCCACTGCACCTCTAGAATCTGGATGTCGAATGTCTCTAAAAATACAGTTTAAGTGAAGTGGTTGATTGAAGTCTGATGAATATAAAAGTACTTTTTTGTAAAAGTTCTTCGTTGTTAAAAAAAGTATTTTTACAGCAGACATGTTGTGTTAAATTCTACTTATGTGTGTTTGATGTGCGGCCGATGTTGTCATCTTGTCAGTGAACAAAATGTTGCACAGTACCTACAGGGCGATCATGCAATCGGAAGGTTTTGTGATTGAGAAACACAAACTTCCCTCCCTCTGACAGTGTTTATGGGTTTGTTTGATTGCAGGACCTCCTGGGGTTTAAGAGCACATACCAGTAGCTACACAGACAAAACAACTATTCAAGGCGACACGTACACACAAAACAGTCTCACTGTTTCACCTCCAGAATAAAAATTGCACACAAACACTTACTAACAAACATCCAGTGTATTGTTGAGAAGTTTTAACGACAGCATGTTTTTTTTTTTTTAAGTACTGAAACTATGAAACACTCGTTCCTTCATCTTTGTACTGAGGGCACACTCAGAGGAAAGGACAGTAGAAAAAGGAGACCAGGAGAGGAGGAAGTGTGGGAGGAAGAGTGAGGAAATCCCTCAGTCTGCAGTCAGGTAGTGGATTGTGTGTCTCTCACAGGAGAGGAGGCAGTGCTGTTTTGGGATTACATCACAAGGATTACTGTAATACGGTCCAGATGGGCCTCTGTTGTAACAGATTAGGACGGGTTGATTGGAGAACAGGAGGGGAGGGGGGGAGGGGCAAAGGTCAGGTGATGGAAGACTTCACTTGCTCTGGTGACTGACCACCAATCCTGACAGAGCAGACAGATATGGATATAATCCAGTCATTCAAAAAAAAAAGTTGCATAATCAGCCTGGCGGTTTTTTATGTTTGTACCATTCATTGATTTAAAAGAACAAAACAATCTAGGAACCTCTTAATATTTTTATCTTAAATTTAATTTAATTTATTTATTTAGTTTACTTCAAATGCACTTGTCTGTTGTATAGCAAATTACCAATATGTTTGCAGAAGTTGTTAGTCAGTCAAGGAAAAAGGATTGAAAAAAGATGTGAAGGCTGCCATGTGTGGTTATATGCATGTATGTAAGTTTATGTCTATCTAATGTAAGTATGAAGGAAAGGGTGTGTGTATACATGTATGGATATGGATGTGTAGTTGTTTGGTAAAATGACATGTTAGGATTTCATGAGAAAATGGACAAGTGTAACTGAAAAGCATCTCCTGAAGTTGTATGTTTGATCTGTGTTCAAAAGTTCAAAAAGAACAAAACAAATCAGTCAAACAACAGCAGGGCTTCAAATTAAAGCAACAATATGTAGGAAGGGGTCCACCCAAGGTCTTTGAGAGCAACTGTATTGTCGTAAGACACTACTCCTACCCCTCTTAGACAACGTGCATTTGTTTACAAGCTGAGGGTGCGAAGCCAGCAAAGACATGTGTTGAGACAAGCTAAACAACCACAACAACTGACAAGGTTCCTTTTTAGCTTCATCCATCACCGTCCTCTTCCTCTCAGCCACTGTGTCAAACAGAACTCTCTGCCCACTGCCACACACAGGCTCAAAAACTAAGAATACTTAACACAGAATTAAACTTCGAAATGAGACAATAAAAGTGAGCTCATGAATTTAATCAAAAAATGTCCAGGGGAAAAGTGGGTATGTAAGTTATGGAAAACTAAAACCTTTTTTCCTTTTGACAAAGGTTAAATGAGCGACCAAACTGCGTTTTTATAATGAACTTCAGTAGTTCTACAAACTCCAATAAATGTGATAATAAAATCAGCATGAGTATAAAAGTGTGAAATAAAACCCAATGAAGGATCTTCCCTGCTTTCTTTTCATAATCTCACAATCTTAGTATCAGTCAGAATAGTGACAATATGTTTGTTTTTTCCAGTATGATGCAGCCCTAATAGACCGAGTTCATGCACTTTTGATTTAATTGCTTTGTCTTTCATGATTGTTAACTTTATTTTGGATTGTTGCTTTGACCAAAATTCTTGCGGAAAATGTTGCCTACTTTCTGACCTCAAAGACCATTTCTAGATCATCATGATAATAGTCATAACAGACTGTAAAAATAATCTAGTTTTTGTTTCAGCTCTACAGAAGGACACACTGATTTGTAAATAAGGATGTATAAGAATCTGCTTGAATGCAGGCGCTTCATTGTCAGAGGCTTTTCGTCCTTGTTGCAGTGGCCTGAGGTTGTACCTTCGACCCTTCACCCTTTGCTGCGTGCCATCCCTATTCTCTCTTTCTCATATTTCCTGTCTCTCTTCAGCTGTTATACCATAAAAATCTTGTAAATAATGAATCCTTTAAAAACAATAGAAAACTACAACTAAAATATATTTCAAAATGCTGCTTGACAACAACAAATCATCACAGCAGCAAAGTCTGTCTTGTTTCTGCATCAAAGGCTCTGTTACTTAGTAACAAACATCCTCATGAAGACACGTTTGTCAGCAGCTCATGCACTCTTCAGCATGTGTGACTTTCTCAAGATGTAATAACATGCACCACTTCCTCATGTGGTCGTACATTTAAATCTCCCAGCTGTAGGCGAGCGCATTGTCAAAAAAAGCTGAGTCATTGTTGTGGTTAGAATAAAGAGCTGAAGGGTCAGTTTAGCCGTCCACATGTCAGTCACCTCCAGTTACTTATTCATCTGTAAGCTTGCTGTTAAAATGTGGAAACGTTCAAAGTTGCATATTGTTGTTTGTTTGTTGTCAGATGGGGTGATGGGGGGTAACTAAGTGTCCAGTGTTATCTCTGAGGGAGTGGAAGTAGATATAACGAAGAGAGAGAGGAAGAGGAGAGAGAAAGAGAGGGGGGGGGGGGAGAGAGAGAGGCCAGATTAACAGTAATCTAACAAATATAGGACATGAATACTTGAGAATCCCCATGTTGTTCTGGGAGCGTGTGTTTATTTTATGTAACGATCATCAGGATCATGCTTTAATCCTTTGTTGAGCTGGGACAGACTTTAACTCTTAAAGATCTCCACACTTTATTATGTACACACACCTGCCTGCTACACTGAACTTCATGCTGCTATGCGTGTGTTCATACACACACACACACACACACACATATACACACACTGCCCTCTCTGTTGACCAGTGAGACCTGAAGCCGGCTCCTTCTTCTATATGCTACTTGTGTACTCTGGGTTTCTGCCATTTAGTTGACAATCATTGCTATTTATTCTGAGGGTTCACTCCTGTTTCTTTCAGAGTTTGGCGCTATGTTGAGACCGTTTTTAAATGAGGGTCTCTGTTGTTTTTTTTTTTTTTTTTTTTGACTATTTTGTGTGTTCTGGGGTGTTTTTGCAGGACCTGAACAAACGTCTCTCCCTGCCAGCCGACATCCGGATACCTGACGGTTACCTGGAGAAGCTGCAGCTGAGCAGCCCGCCCTTCGACCAGCCTCTGAGCCGACGCTCCCGCAGAGCATCACTGGTGAGACAGAGGAGGAGGAGAGAGGCTTGTTAGAGGTCAAAACAGGAAGGGGGAGAATGTGGTGAAACGTCAGGAGGACAAAAATTAGAGTAGACTAAATGGTAGTGAATACAAAGTGCACAGCCATTGTACCTGCTGAAGTGTTTCTGAGCGATACACTGACTCCTTGCTAGTTCTACTGGGACATGGCATTGCTTTATTTAATGGAAAGAGAAGAAAAATCCATACTATATTATAAAATGTAAATGATGTTGAGAGCCTTAACATACAGCTTCATGAGTGGTGAGTTTGTTTGTTTTTTTTAAAGGAAAATACTTCCTGTAACATGAACGGCCTCCCTTGTAGTGACCAACCGTGGTTCCCTTTAGGTCCACAGAGTTTTTGCTTCTTTCAATGAAGACCGAGTCTGGAATGATTTTTACGTTCATTTATTCACAATCCCTAGTATATACAATCCCTTCCCCCAAGTCAGTTAATTGATATCTGATGTGTGAGTGACATGAAGTCACTGAAGAGGAGCGCTTGTTTTGTGCGCCTTTTAGAGCTGCAACACAAGAGTGTTTAAATGTCATGTTCTGCCTCCTGAGACCCCTCCCCCTTCCACCCAACAGCTGTGACATGTGTGAATAACAACTTTGGAAAATCTTGGCAGACAGTCCTTAAAATTTCTAGAGATGTTCAGGAACCCATGTGTGAAAATAGGTCATGATTGTTGACACACATGAGTTCCAGGGAAATGGTTTATGTGCCATGAACATTAGATTTGGTGACGTTATGACTCAGGGTGTTTTTTTGGAGGCAGACTTCCAGTCTCTGCAACTTCACCTAAATGCACCAATTAAGGGTTGTATTCAACCGGCTCTGTTGATCCTGCTAATGCTGACCTTGTTGGTGAATAGAATAATTCAGCTACTCTCATATTCAACTCATTTATCATTTCATGGCATATCACCGTTAAAACCAAAATGGCTTTTGTAAATGTACAGTACTACTTGCCCAGGTTGGAGTGAGCAGATATGATTTGACAGTCAGAGTGAAAGGGACATGGTAAGGCTGTCAGGAAGAAGCTACATAATAGAAAAATAGCAGTGAGGCTGATGTTTTATTTAAAAGGCAGCAAGAAGCAGAAGTGAGAGAGTGAGAGAGCTCGCACCTGGCCTTCAACAGTTTAATCTCATCCTGTCAGCCTGTCATGCGTTCACTCCGTCAGCAGCCTCAATAATTGTCTTGTGATTTAACTGTGAAAGTGCATCTGTCGAAAGCAGAACAGAGGAAAAGTCTGAACACTGTGCTCCCTCATCCTGTCCTCTGCATCCGTACTCACACTCCATCACAGAGGAGCTGTGCTGCCCTTTAGTTTTAATGCTCCCACAGGACTCACCACTTCCTTTAATCAGGGAAACCAGGCTGCAGGAGTTTGTTGTCAAACATGAAAATGTGGTTCACACTGAGTGATTACAATACTGGGCAGTTTAACTCGATTTCAACAATGAACATGTGACATACTGTAAAAGAATGTGTTAGAGCTTTAATACAGTAATCCAACAACCTTCTTGGCAGTTTACTTAATCGGACATGTCAAATAATATGTTGTTGTTTATCTAATCATACAGACCGATGTAGACATAATCAATATTTCTTTATTTTGGGATGCATATTTCTTTGTTAGCTGTCCCTTTTTTATACGTCAAAAAGTTGTAGCAGCTAAAAGCTAAGAACTGGTCGATCATTTCTAGAGTCCGGCCATGCTATCGTTATCGGCTAACTTTGTTGCAGATATGCGATGATATTACTAGATTTATTGCCTCTGGCAGCTGTTTCTGTCAACCTCGCCCTAGTTGCTGCTGAAGCTTTCCTCGGGACTCAGTCTGACCTTAGACTTTGACTTTTTCTAAACTCTGCCTCTCATACTGAACGATGCATCACAGTTATTAAGAAGTTAGTGTTTGTGCTGCTTGAAACAAAACTTTGGTTCTTTTTTGGTTCAATCATTTAGCACAATGTGGCTAAACTTAGTTTACATTTTCTGCACTAAACCTTACGATCCTAACATTTGGAAAATTTGACATGAATACTTGTCTGAAAATGCATTTGAGTTTGAGTTGTGTAATTAATTCGATTTCGAAATAAAGTAAACAAACACGGTTAAAGCCAAAAGCCAGCGGTCTGTTGTCACAACAGATTAATTTGGATGTTGGTTTGGGGGGGTTTGACCTCTTTACACCTCCTCTGCTGCCAGTCCGTCATAAGGGTTTACCGTAGTGTCTGTAAGCCTGTCAGTAGTAATAATGAGGGCGCCTTCATTAATGCTGTTTGTCCTTTCCTCTCCTCCAGTCAGAGATTGGATTTGGAAAGCTGGAGACCTACATCAAACTGGACAAACTGGGGGAGGTATGTAAGAGTGTGTGGGAATGTGTTCACTGTTGACCTTCACTGTCTTACAGGTGCTACTCTTCTCATAGTTAGTGATAAAAACACATGCACAGTTTACTTTTAATTCTTTCGTGCCCAGCTGCAGCTTCTGACCCCCTCTCCTCTGCTCTCTCCTGCAGGGAACGTACGCCACAGTGTTCAAAGGGAGGAGCAAACTGACGGACAACCTGGTGGCGCTGAAGGAGATCAGACTGGAGCATGAAGAGGGGGCGCCATGCACAGCTATCAGAGAAGGTATGACGGCTAAATGTTGCCCCGTGAATGAAAACACACAACCCAAAACTTCCTGTTAACTAGCAAACGGATGTAATGTGGAATCTGGTATTTGATATGAGTCAGGCATTTTCTCAATTTGGATGTTCAGGACATTTTACAATCTTACAGCATGAAGAAGGTTGACTTAATTCAATTCTAAATTACATTTACAATTGTTGTAATGCTTTTCAGAGAGTTGAATGTGTTACATGCAGCCGATTCATCCTGATTTTTGCTCTTGAATAGTTGTTAGGGTCGTCTTCTTCAATTTATTCTTCACTCGTGAAAAAAAAACTACAGCAGGTTAACATTTTGATCCAGTTAATAGAAAATGAGCTCAAAACACAAGTAGTTTCCATGGAACCAGATTTAGCAATTATCGTGTTTTTAATTCTTTACTGTATGAGCACTCGAGTTAAGATATGTAATCGAGTGTTACAGTGATTCATTATGTGCAATTAACCTAGCTTGTCTTAACTTCATGTTGCTGCTTTCCAGATGGAACTCAGTGTTTAATAAAGTTGAATAAAGACGGTGAAGTTTGCACCATGACTCATCTTGAGCTCTCTTAGTATCGTGTTGAGTTCTTTAGATTGCTGTTTGAGAAGTTGATTTGTTGTTTCTTTCCCTAAATGTGTGAAGCTGACAGTTGTTTAGTTTGTTGAACCGTACAGTACAGCGTCTTTGAGTACTTTATAAATACAATGTATTATTATAAACAAACCTCAGCTGTCTTGGGAAGTGTACAGTGACATGCATCTCTATGTGAACAAAGTAAACGTCATGGTTTGAGTGTAATCACATGGTCTTTGTTTCCAGCTGAGTTGTCTTTCTTTTTCTTTAGTGTCTTTACTGAAGGACCTGAAACACGCCAACATTGTGACGCTGCACGACATCATCCACACAGAGAAGTCGCTCACACTGGTCTTCGAGTACCTGGTGAGAGCAACAGAACCTTTCCCCTTCATCCTGCGTGACTCACATGTTGTTCTGTGCACAGATGCTCAAATAAATATTTATTTCACCTCATTGTTATTCATGAGCATCTGCAGAGATGAGATGACAACACAGGAGCACAACAGCTCAACTTGTTGCAGTTAGTATGCCTGTGAGCCTTTCTACTCTTCTCATTCTCCCCTCTCTCTCCCTCTCTCTCCCTCCCCCCCCCCCCCCCCCCCTCTCTCGTCCAGGACAAAGACCTGAAGCAGTACATGGACGACTGTGGGAACATCCTTAGCATGCAAAATGTCAAGGTGAGCCTCCACAGGCGGCCTGCTGGCCCAGCCAACTTCATCAACTGTCAGGGCTTTGTGGCTACTGGGGTCCACAGTAGAAGCACTGTCAGTGTGCCCTCTGGTGGTGGAATGGAGACATTGTGGGGAAAACAGGAATTGAATTCTTAAACTTGAAACTGTCTTGTGTACTTTGTTTAATTATTTTATATAGTTGGTTAACATGTCTTTGGATGGACATAAAAACTACGTTTTGAAGAGCATAGATTTTTTTTATGGAAGCAGAATTCAGTGTATTAATAATATAATAGGGCTGTCAAACTATTAAAACTTTTAATCGTGATTGATTCAAATTTTCAATAGTTAATCATGATAAATCACAGTCTTAATCGCATGCTTGACATTCCATTTTTTCATTTAAAATAAAAAGTGTGTAGGCTTTTATTTTCAGGTTCATACTAAATCTGAGCGAACTTCACGTGCTGTTTGAATTCAACCCTGCTTTTATTTTGAAATAAGAACCTGCTGGTAGAGTTTAGCAACATTAGCACAGAAAAATAAACTTGTCACGGATCAAAAACTAAATGAAGGTGGCTATTACTTGGGAAGTTAAATGGAAAAAAAGAGAGTGAAATGAGACATTCAAAGATGCAGCAGTGTCTTTCCATCACTGTGAGTGTGACTGCATGGAGACACTGCGGAGGCTAATCCATGGTGCTCCTAAAGGAACAAAACGGTGTGATTAAATAAGATTAAAAAGAAAAAAAATGCATTAATTTCAGACCTTAGTTAATTGTGATTAACTAGTTAATGCTGAGAGCACTACTATATCATTTCTATTCTTGAGTGGTACATGTAATGTCATCTGTTTTAGTTACCAGCTCCTCTATTTGAAACAGATTTTTACCAATATGATGATAGTTGCTGATCTCAGATTTTTCTTTTTTCTCAGATCTTTCTGTACCAGATCTTGAGAGGCTTGGCGTACTGTCACAGGCGGAAAGTTCTCCACCGAGACCTGAAGCCCCAGAATCTTTTAATCAACGACAGGGGAGAACTCAAACTAGCTGACTTTGGTAAAAACAACTGAAACCCAAATGTGCATCAATTATTAATCTGTGTTTGATTTAGCTTGTTTTTTCTTCAAATAATAAATCAACTTCTTAGATGTGACACCTTGTTGAAGCTGCTTTCATCTAAGTTGTTCAAACACTCAGTAATACATTAAGGTGTTTTCAACTGAAACTAAATAGTGTGCATTTTAGAATAAAATCCTTCTGTCAGATTTGAATGATTTTCTGCCAAATGTGTCTGTTGGATTTGTTTTCATTTCACGTTTCTTCTCCACAGGACTGGCGAGGGCCAAGTCTGTGCCCACTAAAACATACTCTAACGAGGTGGTAACGCTGTGGTATCGGCCTCCCGACGTACTGCTGGGCTCCTCTGAGTACTCCACACAGATAGACATGTGGTGAGTGGGCCTGGCTCTACAGGGGTGATTGCAACAGTTGGAAAACACTGAGCGGACTCCTGGCACCTCTCTTTGTTTTCGGTTCCTGTAGCGAAGTGAAGATGTAGGAGCAATTAAAATCCTCCACTAGAAAGAATTTCTGTCATTCATTTTTTGTGAAATTATTTTGAGCGTCGTCAGGATTTGTGGAATAATCCCAGATGATTGGATCTTCTTTTGTGGAGTGGGCTCTCTAAATAAGGAGCTGACAGATGCAGGACAGTAAAGAGACTTTGATTTGTTTGGTGGTTGCTATTTCAAATACCTTCCTCTTCTTTTAATACTTCATTCAATTTTTGGACGTTTAAGGTTCCATTTTTGGAGTTTGATTCCAGAAGTCGCTTGTAGATAAGAACAGATGACATGTTGGGTAGAATCATCACACCTGATCCCTCCTGTCTCTCTCTCCTCTCAGGGGTGTGGGTTGTATATTCTACGAGATGGCTGCCGGCAGACCCCTGTTCCCAGGCTCCACAGTGGAGGACGAGCTGCACCTCATCTTCAGGCTACTAGGTCAGTGCTGCCCCCTGCTGTCAGGCACCACAAAAACGTTTTAATATGATCCTCTAATCGTATTAGCCCTGGCATGTAGCCCCCTGCCGCAGCGTGAAAAGCCCCTCCAGCTGCCCTGTTTAGCCTTACTGTAACAGGACCGATTGAATGTCCCCTCCACAGGCACTCCCACAGAGGACAACTGGCCTGGCATCTCCTCCATTGACGAGTTCAAGTCCTACAAGTTTCCCAAGTACAAGGCCCAGCCCCTCATTAACCACGCTCCAAGGTAAGACACAAAACATCTGCTTCGTTTTAGGAGGTTATTTCAGATGTTTGAAGTAAACACCTTTCTAGTTTCTAAAACTCCCCCTCACCTCTCTTGGTAGCCCTCTTGTCATTGGAGATGGAAATGAGCAATTGTTTCAAAACAGACCCAGGTATAAAAGAAGAGACTGCATGTAGAGTTTTTTTTTAGGTTTTCTAGAGTCAGACTTCAGTGTTTTAGGTTTGTTTAGTTAGTGTGTGAGTGTGTGCTCTGTGTCACTTCCTGTAAGGAAATCCTGTGGAATAGTTGACTGAGTTTCCTTCCTTAAACTCACCAGCATCTGTGTGTCGACCCCACCTCTGCTGACCTCCCTCTCTCCTGTTCTCTCCCCCCCCACTCCCCTCCTCCCTCTCTCTCCAGGTTGGACACTGATGGCATCGACCTGCTGATGTCATTCCTAAAAGTGAGTGTCAGTAAATCTGCCAGGCATGATCGGGATGTTGAAAGCAGCGCGACACATTTCGCTGCTATGTTAGGACTGTATTTATAGAAAGAAGTGCATCAAGGCGCGGCAGCACATTCACACACAATCACACATTGCTGACCTAATTCTTTAGTCGTCCATTAATGGCTTTCTTTCTCTTACTTCCTCCTATTTCAGTACGAGTCGAAAAAGAGGACCTCTGCCGATGAAGCAATGAGACAGCCGTACTTCAGGAGCCTGGGGCCACGCATGCACACACTGCCAGAGAGTGAGTAATGAAATGGCAGCACTGTACTGCAGACTTGGCAAGCTCCTCTAGGTACAGCTTGAAGGATATTGCAGTGTACAGTGAGGATCAGTTTCAGCTTCATAACAAAGACACTGTTCTCCCTGGCAAGATGTGATGTCTGCTGCACTGACTGACTCTCTCTCTCTCTCTCTGTCTGTCTGGCAGACATATCCATATTCACACTGAAGGAGGTCCAGCTGCAGAGAGATCCCGGCTACCGGAACTCATCGTACCCTGAGTCAGGTGAGGAATAACGCAGCACTGAATCCTTTGTTTGAAAGAGGTTTTCAAACTGGGACATGTCTCCCAAGATGCTGCAGGGAAGTTTGGGGATGGAGGGAAAGTAATGCAGTTGGTGAAAGGGACAGATATAAATGCCAGTTAAAAATAAAACCAACAACAGGAAGCTAGCTATGACTGTTAACTGACACTGAATTAACTAAGTTGTTTTTCTTTGCCATCCTAGGATCACCTTAAAAAAAAATCATAATTTTCGACACATTTAAATAGTCCTTTCAAGCTAAATAGCCACAGTACTACTCAGGAATAAAAAAAAGATGATTCTATATGAACAGAACTTGCTAAAGAATCACATTGTTTAAGTTTTCAGCAGCATCAAAGTTATCCACTGATACTTGTCAGCATGGCAACCAGGAGGTGCTATGTGCTAATCTGGCATACTTAAATCGTACCTGTGTACTAAACTTTGAACAAATAAAGGCCTGAAAAATTGGGCCCAAGTTGTACCCCTAAGTGTATCTCACCAAATCCACGACCAAATGATCCAGTATCTTCTGTTATACGACATCTCTTAATGTCAATTCAACAGAATAAGTTCATTTTTGTCTTTGTCTACCTTCAGGCAACGGAAAGAGCAGAAGACAAAGCATGCTGTTTTAGATTCTCTGGACTGTCCTTTTTTTTTTTATTTGGGAAGGATCTCCTCGCTGTACAGTAACCTGAGATTGATGTTGGCACTGAGCATCATCATCATCATCATCATCGTCACTCCTCAGAAATCTACTTGGGGGGGGGAAACAGGTCGACAGTGCGGCCGACCCCCTCCTCTCCAGGTTTGGCCTGACGTTGGCCCCAAAAGAGACATTTATATACTGTACATCTGTATTTATTGAGAAGAGAATTTGCTGCTAAATACAACTACTGTCTAGAATCCTAACTGGCTCAGTCACTTTAATGAGTACATGCAATGTGTATAGATTTTTGATTTTGTTTTTGAAGTGTGGTATTTTTAGTGATATTTTTTGTCATAATTTCCATTTTCATACAAACAAAAGTGCACCTCAAAGCTCGTGTGTGTGTGTGCGCGTGTGTGTGTGTGTGTGTGTGAGAGAGAGAGAGAGACGTGCAGATGGATGTTTCTGTAGCAACTCAAAAGAGTTTGATTTTCTGTCTTTTCTGTACACCTGTGTGTGTCTCTCACCCCGCTGCCACGGCGCTGATCACAGCTGCATCATACCCGACCATTACTCTGAAGGTTTTTTAAGGCCAGCTTTGATATAACTGATGATTTGATCCTAACTGGAGGCGATTAGGAGAGCCGTGCGTTCTTGTCAGATATCTGCATTATCATTCCAGGACGCTTTGGTCTCTTATTGTGACCAATGAACAAAATGCAAGGAGTAGAAAAGAGACGATGTAGGATTATTAACAAGGGCATTACAGGATTAGTGACGCCTCCTAAATTCTTCAGAAGAGATTAAACTGCCGTGAACAACCTTCTTATCCTTTTCCACCTCAATCTGACACCTACATCTGCTGCAATCTGTTACAAAGAAGAGGCCTGAAGTGTTGGAATCTGCTACTCTGCCTTCGTACATTACAGATGTGTCCCCCCCCCCCTGCTGTCATTCCCATCTCCCACCAACTGTAAAAAAAACAGATCCCTTTTTCATTTTCTGGATTGCCTCCGTCATTGTGTTGCATGCCTGCTCTGTTGTATGAGGAAGCACACAGCCACTGAACTCCTGAGTCAGGGAGCACTAGCTATAGTCCTGCCCCTGGTGAATATGATACTGAGTCAAAGTCTATTTAACAGTGTTACCACGGATGTTTTGTATGATTTCTTTAACTTTATTTGTGGATTATTGTTATTGGTGTGGGATTTCATTGCAGATACCCTCCCATATTTGAGTTTGTTTTTTTCCAGAGCAAAGAAAATAAAATTTAAAGTTTAAACAGAAATCACATGAACTGTTTTTTCCTTTCTTCTTCTTGTACTTTTTTTGCTTACTAAGGTAACATGTTTATATAGGGGAAACAGTATTCAAGCATTCAATGCTTTGTTTATTGAAAATGACAGACATTCTTTACAATACAAAATTATACAGAATACAAACTGTATACCAAGTCCAGTATAAAAAAAGAGAACATACAAGTGTTACAAAGAGTTTTCATTGATTTGCAATCTCGTCTTCATTAAAATAATTTGAAAGAAAAGACAAAAAAAAAAAAAAAAAAAAAAGGCACAGCCGGTACTATCTGAGAAGCATAGTGCATACAATACATATAATACAGCACAAGAGAAATGACAAGTTTCACCTTGTGATGAACATTTCAGAGAAAAACAACTTTTTTTAATTTTTTTTTTTCACAAAATTAATCAAGCTCTCTATGCAGAGTTAGCTCCTGGCTAGTCTAGCTACACGTCACTACTGTCCACGGAAGACAGTGTCATGTGGAAATGTGCTGTACTTTTATCACAAAGAGCCTCAGGCGTCTCCCAGACATCATGGCTCATTGTATGGCTTTAACCAAGTGCTTTCAATCACTGGAATCTGAAGCAACTCAAGTGCAAAAAAAAAAGTGAGGTCACATACTGTCTTGTAGGACTTTTCTGAAGCAAAATGTGAATAAAAAATACAGACAAGAGATTGCTTCTGTAGATGATGATTAAGAAGAGAAACTTTCACGTGAGATGGTTGAAGATGTCTTTTTTTTTTTTTTTTCCCCCTCTGAACCTGGATCAGGATTTGTGGGTGGTTGGGGACAGGAGCAGAGAGGAGGGTGTTCCTTCCAGATTTGGCATGTGGATGGGCATGTGTCCGTTGATTAGGCTGGGGAACTGTGGAGGAAGAGAGAGGGGCTGAAAGTTAGCGAGAAGCGGACGGAGGTGCTCTGAAAGCTGCTTTCCGGTGAGGAACTGCAGCATTGTCACTGCTCTGGTTTCCTGTTTTTTTTTTTTTTTTTTTTGTATGCATTGTGCCTCTTCCTTTTCGTCTCTGTCCCCTGTACCGCCACCACAGAAGGAGAAGTCAACAGTATGTGTGCACAAAGAATCTGGTTTTGTGTGTGTGTGTGCGCCTGTGCTGTGGGTGTGTATTTTTTTCACAAATGAGGAGCAGCTCTCAAACCAGTCCACCCTGTTCAGGCTGGCTCCCCTGGGCTCAAACAGGAAGTATTCACAGGATTTCCTCTCCCTCTCACAAGCGCTGAAACAGGACACCTCTGCTTACTAAGTTTCAACCAGTTTCACAACCACTGCTGTCTGCTACTTAAGCACATCTCAAAAACATCTCGTCTTTCAGTCTTAAATTATATTTCTGTCATGCAAAATCCAACTAATCAAGACCATAGTTGGTTTAAAGTGTTTTAAAGTCATACTGGGTTAAAAAAACAATTGAGTGACCTTTTATGTAAATGATTAGAAACTGGTTTGTCTTGATCTCTTAAAAAAAAAAACATCCCTGTTATCATCTTTAAAATAAGTGCTGGGAAGAACGGGGATTTTGCATCAGTGTTGCATTTCACCTGCACAACTACTTCCTACAATTTTAAACTCCTGCAGTAAACAATAACCCCTCTGTGCTCACGTCCTGCTTTTATTTGTCTTTTCTGTGCACCTGTGTCTGTGTGTTTCTCACCTGAAAGAGGGAGCTGTGGCCCTGCAGCCGGGCGGGGCTGAGCGGAGCGACGGGGCTCAGGCTGCTCCAGAAGTGGATGCCTGACAACAGCGGACTGTGAGCCAGCAGCAGACCGGAGGGAGTCTGTGAGGGGGGGGGGGGACGGGACACAGAGTGGGGGAGACTTAGTGTAAATAAGAGGAAAACAGTGAAGACAACAGTTTTTCAAAACAAAAAAAACACTGGTTGGAGAGCGTTGCTCTGAGGGTTTTGGTAATGTGAAACATGTTGAATGGTAAATGGACGTGTATTGGCGTTTGGAAAAACAAACTGACGGAGCAGGAAGGAAGTCTGTGGTTTCTCCTCGAGAATACAGGGGTGACGTGCCGAGGAGAGAGGAGGAGGACGGTGGGGGATGTTGTTGATTGGGGGGGGGGGGGAGAAAAAAAGGTCGAGGAGGAAAAACATATGAAATCAATTTCTGCCTCCCCCCATGATCTCTCTCTCTCTCTCTCTCTCTCTCTCTCTCCCCTCCCCGACTTTCCCGTGTGTCACCTCAGAGAAGTGAGCCAGTGTTGCAGGGACCCTGCCTCGCTCCCATTATTAATGGAATTATTGGAGCATATGGCATCACTTAACCCCCCCTCCTCCTCCTCCTCCCTTAGGCTGGACTTGAAGATTTCTGTAAATCGCTTGTTTTCCTCTGATCTCTCTTTTTGCACCCTCACAAACAGACAGTGTGTGTGTTCCACTTAAACCTTACCCATACCAGTTAGTCTGTGATGTGGTGGAGTCCTTCCCCTTTGTAACAACTCAATGTCAACACATTATTAACTCAAATAGATTATTAAATACCAGTGGACGCTTGGCACATGAAGATGAGAACAAATCACCATGTCACGACTTGGTGAAGGCGGCTCTAAGTTTGTGACGGACAAAAATTATTTTGTAAACATCCATTAAGAACGGGTCTTTTCTCCCCTCAAGTTAAATGTGAATAGAGATAGTTCAACAAAGCTTTTTATTGGTAGCAAACACTGTGACAGTAACTATTCTCTTCACCCCACAGAACTGCTTATTGACGTTATATGTGAGGTCAAGTTGTACTAAACGCAGACAATGACTCACCAAATGAGTCTAAACTGAAAGTTCTTCAAACTATTTAGAATCCCTTCACGACATGAGCGCATGTGCACATTTACTCAATTTTTGTATTAACCTTTTTTTTCTGTCTTTACTCTGTTTCTTGAGAAAATGTGTGTTGACGTTGCTGATTGAATAACTAAGGCGGCTGTCTTTGCACCAGGCTGTGCCGTATGTCTCTTTAAGGACACTGACATCAGACTCTGGTTAAATCCCATCATCTCCCTGTGGCCGGCCAGGCAACCACATAGGTCACGGAAACAGATAGCATCACAGTGTTATTGTGTTTCTTTCTAAGAGATCATTATTATTATTGGCCTCAGAGTACTTCAGCTGGCACAGAGCGGCAGGGTCACTTAAAGTCTAACAACTTCTTACTAGAAGTAACAACTTCTAACAGAAATAGGTCAAAAGAGGAGCTTTGGGGTATGTGGACTCTAGTCTCTACTAGAGAGAGTTGATGCAGGCTATAAAGAAGTTTGAAGTGTTGGTCGCACTTATGAGCAATAAGAGAATTCATCCTTCTTAAACAAACACTGAGGAACAACTTAAATGGGTCACAAGTCCCCGAAAGTGCCTTAATCCTAATTTAAATGCTGTAAAGAGGAAACCTTTGAACATGGCAGGCTCGCTCTACACAGAAGTACTTTCATCCATACTATGCTGCTCAGAGATAAGGACAGTTGTTCATATTCAGGTTAATCACCTGTGCAGTGAAGAAGGCTGGAGTGAGGGAGCCAGACGGCAGCGCGGGGCTGTTAAGGGCGATGGAGCCGATGTCGCTCCCTGAGAGCAGCATGGATGGAGAGATCTCCAGAGCTTTGGGCTTTTTGCTTTTTGGTGGGAGTCCATCTCCTTGGTTACTACTACTAGTAGAGCTACTTCTGACGCTGCTGCTGCTGCTGCTGCTGCTGCTCCTCTTCTCAGGCTGCAGGGCTCGCTCCCTGTGCCCGGAGGACAGATTGAGGGGCTGAGCACTCTGGTCAAAGTCCTCCTCCTCTTCCTCCTCAGCCGCGGTGCTCCAGATTCCTCTGGACTGAGAGGGTTTGGTGAGGGGAGAGGGAGGGGAGTGGAGTTTGGAGAGGCGAGGGGAGACATATGACTCGGTTTTGCAGAGGGGGGTGGGCTCCTTTCGCTGCCGTTGGTGCCAAAGCGGATGACAGAGCGCGGCTCCTCCTGGCGCTCCCGCAGGGCTCGGAGCAGCTCGGGCTGGTTCTGCAGGGAGCTGATGCTGAAGGAGGAGTAGAGACCCGAGCGGAGGTAGTCGTTCCGACACTGCTGCGCCAGTGCCAGGGTTCTCCTCTGGGCCTCCTCCTCCCCTTCCCCTTCCTCTTCCTCCTCCTCCTCCACCTCAAGCTCAGAGGCCTCTCCTTCCTGCAGGGGAAACCTTCCAGAGGCCAGGCCCATCTCCACCGCCTGAGGGTCCATCTTCAGGATCTCAGGGAAAGACACAAACTTGTAGACAAACTTCTGGCCAATAACCTTCTTGATGATGTTCTGTGAAAGTGTAAAAACAGCAATATTGATGACAATGCTTTACACATTAACCTTTACTGATATCAGACTAAAAAAAAAAAAACATTTTAATAATATTACAGGGACAGCATTTCAGTCAAGTATATGTCAAATGCTGTGCTGAAATATCTGTACAAGAGTTAGAGATCTGTATGTTTGATGAGGAAGGGGAAGTGAAAGTATCGATCCAGGGAGGTTGAGGCTTTAAAGAGAAGAACAACAAAGATTCTGTCGCGTAGCTACTCTCCTTTGCCTCCTAAACATTAGCTCTGCTCTTATCTCACCTTGTCATAGTAGTATCGCAGCGCTCTGCTCAGCTTGTCGTAGTTCATGTTGGTCTTGTTCTTGCGTAGCCCCCACAGCTTGGCCACTTCCTCTGACTTCAGCAGCTTGAACTCTCCGTCTGTGGACGTCCAACAGATCAGGTGTTTGTGACTCTGGTCCAGCAGCAGCTGCAGCAGGAACTGCCACAGCGTGATGGCACTGTCCATACCTGCAGAGGGGAAGGGGCAAAACATTTGACTGTGAAATATGCTTCAAAGCCCTTCGACGTTATTTTTCTAAAAACGTCGTATGGTGATGTCTGAGGGCTTCTTCCTGTGGTCTTTTTCTCTACGAGACAAAAGTGGAACAAACCCACGCTGTGTATTTTAAACCCACGCTGTATATTCCCCACTCTACAAACAC